TTTTACATACATAAAAACAGAACGATATAAAGTATAAAATCATAGAATTACAATTTTAACAATTAATTTGAAGCAAACAGTCCCAAGACGGCATGAATCAAAAGAAAAAGAAATAAGAATCATTTAATTGATGTCTATGTCATTTTGTTGTACAAATTCAGAATAGTGGCTTGGCCACTAGATGGGTTGGGGTAGAAAGAAAGAAAGAAAGAAAGAAAGAAAGAAAGAAAGAAAGAAAGAAAAAGAAAGAAAGAAAGAAAGAAAGAAAGAAAGAAAGAAAGAAAGAAAGAAACCTGCTGTCCAGAAACACTGAAAAACCTGCAAGTGGGCCCTTGAGAGACCCAACTTCCATTGATTTTCAGAATGGTAAAGTCTGTTTCCTATTTCTCGTTTTTTTTTTAAGTTATCACCCATAAAGTGAGACATCAGTTGTCATTAGGACTTAGAAGACACATCAGCTTGGAAGTAAGAATGTTAGTGGCTCTGACTAGAAAGAACAGAACTAATACTGGAAATTCCTGTTTCTTTCCAAAGTCTACAATATCCAGTGCGATGTGGTAGCTAAACTAACCCCACAATCTTTCTGGGAGTAGATAGACAGAAGGGTGATAGTGGAGAGAGGTTACAATGGAAAAATCCTCTACAAATATTCAAAACAAGCCTTCTTAGAGCTACTTTTAAAACTAGGATTCAGTGTTTGATACACATGTTCATGTGTAATGCAAGTGTAGTTAGACCCAGAGAAAATGATAAATTATAAAGAATTATACTGTATTGGCCTGAGTGTCTTTGGAAAAAAAGATTGTATACAAAATTTAGAGATAATTAAGCAACCAGTCAGCTGGCCACAAATGGAGAAAACATTTAATTCCCCCTTAAAACAACTACCTTCCCCATTTTTCAAAAGGAAAAATATAAGAGGGCTGAGTCTATGTGAAGCCAGCCCAGTATAATGCTACAAACAAACGAACAAACAAATGAACGAATGAATGAATGAACAAACGAACAAAGAAAAACCCATTTTTATATGTAGCCTAAAAGTTCTAATTTTGTTTACAATTCTTTTAAAAAGCAGATGAACACAACCTTGTACTTTTTATTTTACTCTGAAAAGATAGGGAAGAAAGAAATAACTAAAAGACACATGCATAAATATGCATACACCACACCTGCACACCATTTATAATTTAAATAGACAAATGAATGAATAAATTAAGCAATGTTTGAATTAATTATACCTTAATAATTATTCATGTTCTGCAATGGTCATTATTCTACAGATCAGTCTGTTTTCTAAAATGTGATCTTGAGAAATCAGTCCTTTGTTCTCTCTTAAACCAGGAGGAAAAGGGGGATGGTATTCATTCTCCTTTCCTAATCTACTAATCTTACACTATGTCCTCTAGGCTGATAGTACTGGGGGATTTTAATGTCCACACTGAGACCAATTTATTAGGAGCATCTCAGGACTTCATGTCCTCCATGACAACCATGGGTCTATCCCAAATGGTTTCTGGTCCCACACATGTAGCAGGGCACACTCTGGACCTTATATTTCATTCTGGGCAGGATGATGGTGATCTGGTGTGGAGGAGCTTTCTGCAGTTCTGTCGTCATGGTCAGATCACTACCTGGTGAGGTTTACAACCTGGAACCCTTAATCTCTGCAGTGATGGAGGACCTATTAGGATGGTCTGCCCCAGGAGACTGATGGATCCACGTGGTTTTCTGATGGCTCTTGGGGAGTTTTCTGTTGCTTTGGCAGGCGATACCGTCAACGTTCTGGCTGATCTCTGGAATGGGGAAATGGCCAGGGCGGTGGAAACACCACCCTGGCCATTTCCCCATTCCAGAAGCATCTCCTTCCATGAAGTAGAGCCAGGCAACCCCCCTGGTTCACCAGGGAGCTGGCGGTGATAAAACGAGTGGGACAGAGACTAGAGCAACGATGGTGGACAACTCAGAGTGAATCCAGCTGAACAAGAGCTAGAGCCCATTTGAAGGCCTATTCTGTGGCAGTGGCTGCAGCAAAGAAAAGGTTCTTTGCTGCTGCCATTGCATCTGCACAAAGTTGTCCAGCAGAGTTGTTTCGAGTGGTCAGGGGCTTAGTACATGCCCCACCAAAAGAACAAAATATTGACTACTCCACAACCCACTGTAAGGAATTTGTATGGCACTTTGAAGATAAAGTTGCTTGGATCTGCTCTGACTTGGATGCTGTAATTGATACAGACCCAGTGGATGTAACTTTGGCCCCTGCTTGTCCTGTTTTGATAGATAATTTTCAGTTGGTGCAGCCTGATGATGTGGACAGGATTCTTGGAGAGATGAATGTGCTGGACCCTTGCCCTTCCTGGCTCATAAAAGCAGCCAGAGGAGGAATGGCCGATTCGGTACGGGGAGTAGTAAATGCCTCCTTTAAGCAGTGTAGTATCCCTGCTTGATTAAAGGAAGCAATAATAATACCACTATTGAAGAAGCCCTTCCTGGATCCTAGTGTACTAGATAATTACTGGCCAGTCTCAGACATCACATTCCTGGGCAAGGTACAGGAGCATGTGGTGGTTTCTCCGCTCAAGGGATTCCTGGAGGAAGCAGATTATCCAGACCCATTTTAATCTGGTTTCAGGCCTGGCTATGGGACAGAGACAGCTTTGGTCGCCTTGTTGAATAACCTACACTGGGAACTGAACAGGGGGAGTGTGTCCATGTTGGTTGCTCACTGGGAACTGAACAGGGGGAGTGTGTCCATGTTGGTTGTTCCGGACCTCTCAGCAGTTTTCAATACCATTGACCATGGTATCCTTCTGGACCATCTCTCTGGGATGGGACTCGGAGGCACTCCCCTTCCTGGAGGGGAGAACTCAGAAGGTGGTGCTGGGTGACTCCTGCTCAACGTCCTGGCCATTGGCCTGTGCTGTTCCTCGGGGTTCTGCTTCGTCACCCATGCTTTTTAACATCTACATGAAACTGCAGGGAGAGGTTGTCAAGAGTTTTGGGGCTCAATGTCACCAGTATGCAGCTGACACCCAACTCTCTAATTCCAGGGAAGCTGCCTTGACTCTAAACCAGTCCTTGGCATAAGTAATGGGCTGGATAAGGGCAAACAAACTGAAACAATCTAGACAAGACAGAGGTGCTCCTGGTTAGTCGGAAGGCAGATGAGGGAATAGGGATATTACCTGTGCTGGATGGGGTTACAGTCCCACTAGGCAGATGAGGGAATAGGGATATTACCTGTACTGGATGGGGTTACACTCCCGCTAAAAACTCAGGTCCGCAACTTGGTTGTACTGCTACAAAAAACTCAGGTCCGCAACTTGGGTGTACTGCTGGATTCATCCTAAGCTTGGATGCCCAGGTTTTGACGGTGGCCAGGAGTGCATTTGTACAGCTAAAGTTGGTGCACCAGCTTGGGTGCCTTGTTGGGAGAAATTCGGCATACAAATAAAACTAATTATAATAATATTCCCTAACAGGTGTGCAAGCATACAAATAAAACTAATAATAATAATATTCCCTAACAGGTGTGCACTTGTTTTGTAGAAGACCTGTCTTTTCAGAGGAAAGTGAGAAGGAAATATAAAGAGATCTGTGCTAACGAAATTCTTAGCACCTTCCCTGCCCACAACAGCTATGTCTTTTCTGCCGCTCCCTTGGCTGCTTCGGCGGAAGAAGAGGATGATGCGAGGGCCCTGGCTTTTGGATAGAAAAGGAGCCCTTCAGAAACCCAGCAGCCTTGGACAGCAGAATTATCACACTTTGCTGGAGGAATGCTTGAAGAATGAACGGCTATTTGAAGATGAACTCTTCCCAGCAGATGTCAGGTCCATTGGGACAGGACCGTTACTTCAGAAACTCCCTCAAAAGATACATTGGAAGAGGCCATATGTAAGTGATGAAATAATTACATATAGGGATGGTTACAATAGATGTTTTGGCCCATTGGGTCACGAAGAGTTGGACACGACTTAACAACTAAACGACAACAACAAATTTTTAAAAGCCTAAAAGCCCCTTTCTTTCTGCGGTCTCAGGAATATGGGGGTCTTGTAGTTCAGTGGTATGGAGTATACTTTCCAACCAGTATATGTCAAGTTCAGTACCTGGCCTCACCACTTAAAAGAACAATCAAACTCAAAGAACAACCTTTGATTGAGTGACATTGGTAGCTAGAGTAGGTAATGCTCATGCTAACAGCTTGATTTGTATATGTATATTTCTGTATACCACATGGACTGAAGGGACTGGGATGCAGACCGGCACACCTGAAGCAAAAGTATCTGTTGTTTTGGTCATCCAGATAGATCAGCACAGCTGACAGAATCCAAATATGTGTTTGATTCTTTTAATTTCTATGTCACTTTCCTCCCACAACTGTTAGAGGGGTGATGGTTGAGAGAAGTTCTGCTTAGTGTCTCTTTCCCTTCCTTTTCCTTCCCTAGAAGAAAACCTCCCCCAACCATTCAGAAGTAGCTTCAAAAAAAAAAAGCTCCTTCGAACTCCCCCCCCACCCAATTTCACGGCCCATGTGGTCATTTTCTAGATTCCAGCCAATATAGTGGTGAAGTCAAAGTGGGCCACCTTTAGTATTATTATGTAATGCTAAATTAGCATATAAGGCTGAATTTTGCAATAAAATAGAACCATTTCCCCATGTAGCAGCATTATATGTTTTTCTCTACAAGAACAATGGGAGACCAACATGCTTTTAGAAATGCTTGCCTTATAAAATTACTTGCACATTGATCAAAACAAATAGATAAGCAATTCCACCTACTCTTCTTTGCTGATTTTGACAATGATATTAGAACTACTAGCCCCACTCAGTGGTGGCTACTATTCACAATATATAGATATTCTCTTCAGTATTGGAGGCAGTATTCCTTTGCCTAAAGTTTGGTGGAAAACACAAACAGTGGGGGCGCCATCACATTGCTATGAATCATGATACATATGTATTCCTGCCGCTTATGACCAGCATCAATATGGTAGGAATCAGAAATGGGGTGCTGCAGTTGTTCATACATCCTGCTGTAGGCTTCCCATAGGCTATGTTTGGAAAAAAAATTATATTATACCTTTGAACTGTATGTTTGTTCCAATCTGGCAGAGTTCATATGGTGATGATCCCAGACATTTCACTCCTATCTTTCTATTCAGATAATCAAGGTGACACATGAGGCAACAACTGCTGCTGCTGTAAGAATGAAAACAAATCTTGTTCAGAAAATTGGTTGAATTCCCCTAACGCTATTTCCTCTTGCTGTGCGTCATGTTTAAAATCCTTAGCTCAAAGGCTTAAGAATAAGACTGGCATATAATTGAGTAAAACCACATTATGATCAGTCTAAATGTAGTTCCCTTCCAGGGAAATGCCTAGGATTATCTGTGGTTCAGAACTCCAATCCATACACAATAACAACCTTAGAAGTGGGCAATCTATGTTTTGGAAATCTTAAGACAGATATTTCCCCGTAGCTTCATTCATTTATGGTAAGACTTCCCCTTTGAAAGGTTTGGAGTGTCTTTACCTTGTATTATCTGCCCAACCCACCAGAGTCTTCCAAGCCAGGTTCCTCCAAGTAGCCACCTCAAGAAAGCTCCAGAAAACTTCTACTACAGGTAGGGGCTTCTCAGTGTTGGCACTGAGGTTACAGAATGAAATCCCAGAGGAGCTGTGCCTGGCCATCTCCCTGTAAGGCAGCTAAAAACACTACAGTGGTACCTCGGTTTACAAACGCCTCAGTTAACATAATTTTCGGTTTACGAACAAAAATGGATTCACATGCACATTCTGTGTGAATAGGATTGGGAAATCTATTTTTTAATTACATCTCTCAGAACCTGCTAAGCAAGGTACACTGGACATATTGGCTGAAGGATTCTGGTAGTCACAGTCCAGAAAAGTAATTTTTCCAAGCTGAGCTTCAGCTCCACCCAAGAGTCCCACTGTAAGTGTGTGAAAGCTCTAAGCCAATTTCAAGATTAATGTTGAGAGTTATCTGATGCAAATGAGTATGGTGGCACACATTGAGCCATTCTGTTGTTATAAAATGTACATAGCCCACAGGGTTACACAGAAATTTCAAATGACCTGTTTGTAGGTCCCTGAGGTATGAAATACTGGCTTGGCATTATATTATATTATATTATATTATATTATATTATATTATATTATATTATATTATATTATATTATATTATATTATATTATATTATAGGAGCTGCATAAGGCACCAGTGTTTTCCTCAGCAAACAAGAAAAGGCTTGCTTTGTGCCAAGGAGTGATAGGTAAGGAACTCTGGGGTGGGTATGATTTTCGTGTACAAATATTCAGAATGTTACATAATACAACTGAGTCAGTATTTGCCAGAATTAGAAATTCTAACACATTGCTAGACAGTAACTCCCACTGAACATAGTAGGACTTGTTTTTTAACAAACATCCACTGGCTTGATTTGCACCTTATACTTCCAGCTCCTATATATACTCCCAGCAAAGCTTGGAAAAGTTATTTAGTTGGACTGCATGTTCCAGAATCCCCCAACGAGGGCTGTGTTATGCTGCCTAGGAGCTTCTGGGGATTGTAAATCAAAAAGTCTCTTTCCCAAGGTACAGTTCTCAGGAAGAAGACTTTTCTGCCCAACAAATTGTGAGATGAACGGATGTAGGTCCTCATCATTATGTGTACAATGTAGTTTTTCCTGTAAGAACGGAATCAGGAAGTCACCCACACAAGTCTCTGGCTGACTTTGAATATGTTGAATCTGCTTACTAGCTCTGTAGCTAACAGCTGCCTGATACATAACTGTTTTTATGACTTTTTCTAGTCATTTCTAGGGCTATCGGAGATAATGACCCTCAATGTTTTGGTGTCCTTTATTTGTCATTCTAATGACAAATGCTTAAAGGGGGGGTGATTACAAGAAGAGAAGCTTCACTCAAGCCCTTGGGGCTATGAGCTGAAACATTTCAACAATGATTTTGTGTGAATGGAAAAGAAGGGACTGATCTATACAACTATACAAGCTTGAAAAGGACACAAGTACTAAATCAAGTGCTAGATATTGGCAGATCAGTTCAAAGTGTGAAGTCTCATAAAAAGTCTGCTCCCTGATCTAATTTTAATTCCAAGTGGCAAAATGACAGAATGTGAAAGGGATTTCACAGAATACACAGAAAAATGTGTCTGTTATAAATTATTTATCATATATGCAAGTTATTGTATCATTAATGCATATCTGAACTTTCGCTGCCTTTCCCTTAAGGATTCCATAAAGTACTATGAATGTGCAGTTTTTATGTTGTGTTTTCTTTATGATTGTGTGTTTCCTCCCCTTCCTTAACTATTTTGGCACAGAGGACTGCTGGTTTTTGGCTGCTGTGGAAGCTTTAACTTTTCATCAAGACATCTTGTTCAAAGTTGTGCCACAGAACCAAAGCTTTGAAAGAAAGAAGTATGCAGGGATCTTCCATTTCAAGGTGAAAATCAGCCCTGATAGTACTGGTCTCTTCATAAGTTAAGGATGGAAGAGTTATTAATTAGGTCTCCTAATTGTATAATAAAATGGATCATTCCATTAGAATTATATAAATATACATCTCAGGTTGTGTGCAAACCAATGGAACTCCACAAGAAGTCCTCAAGTATGCGTTACACCCCCCATTCTTCTTGATTCTCTTTCTCTTTCCACAAAAATGAGAATACAAATTTTATAGAACTGGGCCAGAATTTTTAATTTTTCAGTCATAGAAAATCTGGGATGTGTGAAACAAACTTGCTAAAATCACACTGGGACATGTATGTGTTGGACCGTTCAGACAAACTAATGGTGTGGGACTCATGATAGTGTGAGGAAAATAAACTCACTATTTATTCTGTTGTACCGTATTTTTTGGACCATAACACACACTTTCCCCCCACAACAGGGGGGTGGAAAGTCTGTGCGTCTTATGGAGCGAAGAAAACAGATTATATTTTCCTGTTTTCTTCTCCTAAAAAATTGGTGCGTCTTATGGAAAGGTGCGTCTTATGAACCTGCATCTTATGGAGTGAAAAATACGGTATTTTAATCTGCATACAGGTTCAGAAAGTGTGTAGTAGTTTGCTGAATTAACGTGTTAGTGAAAACAAAAGAAATTTTTCACACCTCTAGCTGTAGTTTAATAATGGCTTCTTCTCTTTCTCTTTCTGACAATACCATAGTAATCTGCTAGAAACAAATAATGGAAAAGTGTTTTGTGTTTTTTACTGGCTGATACGGTAGTTGTAGTATCTCTCTCTCTCTCTCTTTTTTGAAAAAAAAATTAAGAAATATGTTTCCAAGTTCTGCTTAGAAATAATATGTTCACCTTTTGAGGATGATTGATCTGACTTTTCTCCCCAGTTCTGGCACTTTGGTGAATGGGTTGATGTGGTGGTAGATGATCGACTTCCAGTAAATGAAGAGGGCCACCTTATTTTCCTCTCATCTGTTTATAAAAACCTATTCTGGGGAGCTCTTTTGGAAAAGGCTTATGCCAAGTAAGTACATCCAGCATTCTGCTGTGAATCTCTATGTAAAACATGGGCTATATACGACACATTCCTCCTTCCTACCTGACGCTGACATGGATAATCTTTGTGCAAAAATTAATTGGACAAAACAATTTTGTATTTAATAACCTGGAATAATTTTCTTGACAGGCTTTGTGGTTCATATGAAGATCTACAGATCGGGCAAGTATCAGAAGCTCTGGTTGACTTCACAGGGGGAGTTAACATGACAATAAAGCTGGCTGAAGCCCCACCTGATCTCTGGGAAATCATGACTAGAGCAACCTATAGTAGATCTTTGATGGGTTGCCAGACTCATGCAGCGGTGAGATGTCTTCTTCTTGTTCCTCCTCCTATTCCTGTTCTTCTTCTTGATGTTTGTGTTTTGGGATGCCTAAAAGACATCCATGGAGACAGACATTAATATTATCTGCTTTTAGGCTTATCCCATTCCTGTTACATTGGTTTGGCTCAGAGACATTGAATTTCATTGCTGGGCAAGGATTCCCACTCTGATCTTCTCTGACCACAGCCAAATTAACTGTACTGGTTCTTCTTGTACTGATGTTAAAATGGAAAAGAGTCAAGACCCTTTTCCAGAGACTATTTCTTTTACTAGACTTGCAAAACAGTAATTCAAGGCTAATGATAATATCCTACAGATAATGATAATAGCTTACAGATTCCATATTTCCACCTGTATGGTTACCTACGGTATACCAGCAGTGGCAATGACCCTCAGTTCCTCAAGCTTTGTGTGATATGATTCACTTTACTTTAGCAACCAACAATTCTAATTAGAGCCCTATTCAGTCATATAAACTCCTCCAGGCCTACCGTTATATGAAAGACTTTGCATTACCACAGCTCTGTGGTAGCATATATTTAACCTGAAGACCTACCACTTGCCATAGGAATGGGTTCCCAATATGTGACCTTTAAGCTATGGTTGTGGCAGATACTTGCAAAACCTGTACTTGTTTCTTGGTGATTTTCTGAGCTGTGCCAATGCTGAGACTCTTCCCTGAGACTTCTACCTTCATCAGCAAAATTTTCTGGCTTCTCACAAAAATGAGACCACAGTCTTCTTCCATTGCAATTTTTTTATTTTTGTGCTCTGTGTTCTACCCTTTTTTTTCTGCACAGGAAACTGCCCAATTCTATGCAGTTTAATGTCCTTTCTAGCTGAAACCTAGAAAGGACATTAAACTGTGCAGAAACCATAGGAATCCTGTTCAGCTTGGCATTTCTTCTAGGAAAAAAAGAAGCCACAAAAATTCAAAGAAGTCCTGGGAGATTTTCCACCAGATTTCTCAGGAGAGAAAAAAAATTCACTGCAAACTGGCCCGTTTTCTGCAAGATTCATATCTCTGCCTTAAGTAAATCAGTGCTGTGTGATTCAGGGGAATGATTCTTAGATGCTAACTTCCCATTGAAATTGAATCATGGGAACACTGTAATACTATAAGGGATTCCTAGATCATTTGAATCAAAATCTCCTATATTATGGCATAACTGAGTGGGCCTGAAACCCACCATCTTGAGTTAGATCTACAGTTTCTGTTCTACTGATAAAGGTACACTTGAATGTAGTTGTGATTATATGTGAGGGAGGCAAGGCAATTTCCACTACAACTTTCGGTGTCAATCCTCTTACTATTCCTGATGGTCCCATCACCCTCTAGAGTAGGACACAGAGACTGTATGGAGAGTGGGGATTGGCACTGATTGACTTTTTCCTCCTTCAGTCATCCAATATGTTTTGCTTAGTTAGAAGCCTCTTGGTGCCAGAAAGACCCATCCCTTTTGCTGGCACAGCAGGTGACCTTTCAGACATTGTTGGACTTCAACTCAACCATCACTTGCCAAGGTAGCCCAAGGAGCTGATGGGAGTTTCAATCTTGCAACATCTGGAGGTGTAGCAAAATCAACAGTCTGTCCTGGGCAGATAGCGGACAAAAGACTTCCCTCTGTATACCCTACGTCCAAACTCTAATTGTTCTGCATATCATTGCCAGATAGTTTATGCTAAAAGAAATGATTCTAGCATAACTATCTTTTAAAAGACACGGTGTACTATTTTTGGCACTGCTCTCTGGTTTTACTGTGATTCAGGTTTATTCTATATTTTATGTTTATATGGGTTGCCTTGTAAGGACTATGGCCTAAAAGGGCAGACTATAAAATACTTGCAAAAATGCAATACTTCAGTTATATAAGCAATTTAAATTAGTTCCATCATAATATGGTTCATTGTTCTTAGGTGAATAATTTTCTTCAAATGGTAGGTGATTCATCCCCAAAGCGTCACTATAGACAAAAGCGAAAGGTGACAAAGGAGTTCAGCTCTAATTGTTTAAATTATTGAAATACCTAGTGCCTACTCATAAAAGGAGATTGTGTCAGATTTCTTAGGAATGAGGAACATAGTTACTTTTTCTTCTGCTCTTCTTTACAGCCAGTAAGGGTCCTGCCAAATGGATTGGTTGCTGGCCATGCCTACACAGTGACTGGCATTCGAAAAGTAAGTTTAATCATGTTTTTTTTACTTCCAGTTACCTTCTGCACCCATTCCATATCAAGTGATGCGAAAAGCTTAGAGATGCTTGCAAGTTCTGGCTGTGTCTCATGGAGCAACAGTAGTTATTTCAGTACCAGTTGGAAACAACGGTGAGGATTCCTCCCACCCATAGCTGACAAGGCTTGGGGTTAGAGAGCCAGAAGTTTCCATAAACTGACCTTGAGATTTTGTACACCACAGCATCAAATAGAAACAAAACTGTGTAAGGAGCTATCTTGTTCTGATGCTGCCCTATGGTTTCTCTGACTCGGATAAGAACAGTACTCAAAATTTGCATGCATGGGGTCTATTGCTTGGGAGGCTTCCTAATGAAGTGTTGGACCTTAGACCTGTGAAGAATTTGCTTTATCCCTCAATTATGGTCCCTCCCCAAACATAGCAACCAAAATTGTGGGTCTCAGAGACCAAGTGTATTGGAAAGCTGGTAGCCCTTGAGAAACAGAACTGACCTGCCTGACTAATCTGAATCCCACCAGATGATTCTCACATTCGCTTGGCCAGTATGACACAGTCATAGGCAGGGCTGTCTCTAATATTAGGCAGATTGAGACAACTGCCTGTGGCAGAAGGTTCTGGAGAGCTGCAGTGGCACCCCCTTTACTGTTCCTCAGTACCAGATGGTGTATGCCACATAGTCTGTCCTTCCATAAACTGGCTTGCTGTCCTCAGATGTGACTGAGGAAGACCTTCCATCACCATTGTTGAAATTAGATTCAGATTTAAGTTTAGTCACCTTCTGCATGTGGAATGGGAAGGGAATACCATTTTCCCCTCAGGCGAGAAAATATCTTAGCTGTAAGGTGCTTTTTTTGAGGTGTTGCAGCCCTTACTTTAATTGACTGAAGACGATGAGAACATTTGAATGGTTTCTTTCTTTTTCACAGCCATGCTCGCTTTAATGGCATGAATAAAATATACAGTATAATAGCTGGGCCCTTGTGTAAATCAAAGACTGTAATTGATTCATGAGGCTTTGCTTATAGTAGAACCCAGACGTGCATGCAAAACTAAGCTCAGCTGAATTGCTTTCAACTTCACCTTAGATGAGCTCTTCAGAACAGAGTGGATTTAGGGGCTAAAATGGGTATTGTTCACAAACTAGTAGTCTCTGTTTGGAGCTTGGCAGTTCGAAAGCCTATAAAAATGTTAGTAGATAAAAAGGTACCACCATGATCGGAAGGTAAGAGAATTCTGTGTCTTAAGTCACGTTGGCTACATGATCATGGAAATTGTTTACGGACAAATGCTGGCTCTACAGCTGGGAAACGGGGATGAGTCGGACACGACTAGACAATTTGTCAAGGGGAACCTTTACCTTTAATGTTACATTTTTGGATTATTACTCCCTGAATACTCTACAGCCATAATCCAAAAAAGTAACTTTGGCCTTCTCTGGTTGTTCTCCCTTCTGTGGCTGCCCCTGTCATAGTCGGGGCTGAAACATAGGTAGTCCATCCTAGGGTTTTTTAAAGAATATGCCAACATTGTACACAAGTAAATCACTTTCCTTTATTTTTAAATTTTTTAAAATGAGGTATAATTCTTAATATTCAAAACAAAATAGCATTTTTGGATCTTAAAAGAGGTAGATTTTGTCTGTGTGTTTTTTTGTTTTGTTTTATTACATAGCATGACTACCCATTAACAAGTAGGTAGTGGAAATCTATAGGTAAGGTGCATATGATCAATCTGATTCTGGCAGAGTGTAATAATGGGAAAGAACTGACAAGAAGAGATGTCCTAGGCAGAGTTACCTTTTTAGACAACACCTTCAAGAGTCCCTTGGCATACATGGCATTGTTAGATGGAGGATTCTGGGAGTTGTAGTCTTAAAAAGTAATTCTTTCAGGCTCTGGAGGAATGTTTGAGCTTTAGGAGTGTTTGGAGAGTGTGTGGTTGTTGTTGTTTTTTTCTCTTTTCCCCCTAACCAGAGATCTAAACTGCCCTGTTGAATTCCATTCAAGGTGTTATAGACAGGCAGGGGAGATAGCCAGAGGTAACTCATGTTAAAGTCATTCATTTTTGTTTCACTCAGGTCACATGCAAACATGGACCTGAGAATTTAGTAAGACTGAGAAACCCCTGGGGAAAAGTCGAATGGAAAGGCGACTGGAGTGACAGGTGAGTGCTTTCTAGGGAAACAGAAGTCAAGATTTACAATGGATGACATCACAACTACACCTTCAGGCAGGGATTAATGCTGATAATCTCACATGGCATGTAGCACTACTTCCAAGGCATGTGATTATTTTTCCAAAGCCCCAAGGTTTAATTATTTTAATAGATTAGACAGGACTGATGGAGCTCAGCACAGACAAACAAACAAACAGGGGTACAACAGAAAAAGGTGAGCCTGCAGCCGTGAGACATGGCATGATGGTGGGATGAGAAAGCCACCTTGTGTAAGACTATTTGCCTTCAGGTGTGCTTAGTGCCAGGCATATCAAAGCCACAGTGTTGCTGTTAGTGTATGAGAAGATCCAGGCAGAGCTGGTCTGAAACATTTTCCTGTTTGAGGTAGAGCACTGAATGTTGTCTGCTTCTCACCCATGTCAAGATGCAGTGTTTCTAAAACTGAGCCTTATTTGGGTACTTGAAGCCAAACACTGCCAGCAGCTTTCCTTGACCTTGGCATTAAACTCACAAACTGGCTCGCCTTTTACCCCAAATCTACTGCCAAAGGCAGATTCTTCAGTCTGCTCCCCAGTAGGGATTACTCTATTCCTGGAAGGGGACCAGATGCTCCAGAGAACTTAAAAAGTGCAGAAGGAAAAATTTAACCCTGTGCTATAACAGTTGGGAATGGGCTGAGAAAACCCCATGTATATTCTGAAAGGCTTTCATGGCTGGGATCCGATGTTTTTTGTAGGTTTTTTTGGGCTGTTTGGCTGTGTTCTGGAGGTTTTTTTCTTCCTCATGTGCTGAATATTTTTGTTCTCCATGATGACATTAGCTTTAGCACAAGCATCCACCTACTCTACCATTTTGTAGCTGGGCCATCATAACTGATACATTTATTTTACAATAAACATAAAAGTAATAATAACAGTAGGTCTGTGTTTGTAACTTAACCAAGGGTATCAATAATTCAAAGAAAACTGACACTGGAAAAATATGAAACATATTAAAAACTATAAGTTATAATTGTGTGCATAATCTCAGAAATGATATCAATAATGCAAATCAACTTAATTTGGCTTAAAACACTTTTCATACATCGTACCAGCTGTTGTACAATGTATTATTATACTTCAAAAAATCCGAGATCCCAAATTTATTCCCTGTTGGGTCAGTAGCAAAGCAGAATGGCCAGATTTGAAGTGAAACAAATTTACAAACTGATTTGCACCTATACCATAAAGCAGATTGCTTTAGTCTGCTAGTTTTTTTTTTTTAAATCAAACTTTAAAGGTGATGAGTACATGCACGTGTGACGCTATATATCTGAAAATGGCTGGGTTATTGCCCTATGTACGGTCTCTGACATCTCCAAAATTTCACTTCTATCAATACAAAAAACCAAAAATGTTTCAGACAAAATCCATGTCCCAACTTTGCAAATTTACAAATTAATTTGTTTCGATTTCAATCCTAGAGCATAATTGAATCAGATAGGGGTGCAGATTTCTCTGGAACAAATGAGGGTACAATCCAAAGGCCACGTGTGCCTCTCTCCCTCTTTATAAATACAAATACAACAATAATAAAAGAAATAGCTAACAGTTCACTGACTTCTCAAAATCTCAGGCAGCCACTTTATTTTTGCCAAATAGAAGAACTGCTCCTGACGCAAGGATGGGTGAGAGGTAGCTTTGCCTGAAACTCTAGAGAACCATTATTTGTCAGAGTAGAAGTACTGGGCTGGATGGCTCAATGGTCCAAATCGGTGGATAGCAGCTCCATATATTCATAAGAAATGTATGCTTTCATTTTACAATCTTTCCAGCAGTCTCTAACGTGGTGATCATTAGTTTAAAAAATACACAGAGAAAAGAGGCAGGCCAGAACTGTGATCTACAATATAACAAAGCTTTTGAATCCTGTCCTGAAACAAATTCTTTTAAAAATTCTCTTTAGCTCTGGGAAATGGGAGCTGCTAAGTCCAAAAGAGAAGATTTTGCTACGAAGAAATTCTGATGATGGCGAGTTCTGGTACTGTAATCAAATGAAATCTCCCTAACCTGATTTTTGTCCACATCTTAGAAAAGCTCATGTTATAGACTACAAAGTTTGCAGAGAGATTCTGGGAATTATAAATCCCAAAGAGGATTATTTTCAGACTTGGTTTCTGTCCATTATCTTAGCCAATGCAGAAGTTTTCTAATTCTTATACGCCTGTTTAAATTAAGAGATTGCCCAAGATCCTCTTTACCTCTTTCCTGGATTCAGCTCCCTCCTGTCTTTCCAGGGTCATTTCATTTCTGTCCCGCCACACAATCAGAATCATGTAGAGTGGAGTGGAACTATATGAAGGTGACAGCATGGCTGTGCTCCACCTTGCCTCTGTACCACATCCCCATTGCTCAGTTCTACTGTACTCCACACAATGCAGAAGGAATATCTGGAGTGGTAAATCTATGTGGTCAGGATTACTGAAACCATGTGGCAAGCCCACTTATATAGAGCAGGCTCCTGGTTTCATATGTTCCCCCTCCAATGCATGGAAGAGGTGGGCCTGAGCAAACATCCATTGATCATCCAATTTATATTTCACCTTTCTCTATATGAAGCTACCTAACATGGCTTACAAAATATTTGAAGGACAAATAATATTAAGGCAGCTAAAAATACTATATTAGTTTGAAATTAAAGATATTACACATTAAAATTACTGTAAAAATTGTATGGGCAAATGATGGAGCTATTGACTACAGTTCTATTTTGACCATTTGATTCTACTCACTTGATGTGTATGGGTGTATAAGGGCCCTCATGGGACTTTTAACCATAAATGATTTAAGTGTAAGGAAGTGCCATGGGACAGAATATTCTTTTCCAGGAATTAAAATTGATTGATGGAGACAGCAGCCACGAAATTAAAAGATGCCTGCTTCTTGGGAGGAAAGCGATGACAAACCTTGACAGCATCTTAAAAAGCAGAGACATCACCTTGCTGACAAAGGTCCGCATAGTCAAAGCTATGTTTTTTGTGTCATGATGTATGGAAGTGAGAGCTGGACCATAAAGAAAGCTGACCACTGAAGAATTAATGCCTTTGAATTGTGGTGCTGGAGGAGGCTCTTGAGAGTCCCCTGGACTGCAAGGAGAACAAATCTATCAATCCTAAAGGAAATCAACCCTGAGTGCTCACTGGAAGGACAGATCCTAAAGCTGAGGCTCCAATACTTTGGCCATCTCATGAGAAGAGAAGACTCCTTGGAAAAGACCTTGATGTTGGGAAAGTGTGAAGGCAAGAGGAGAAGGGGACGACAGAGGATGAGATGGTTGGACAGTGTCATCGAAGAAACCAACATGAATTTGGCACAACTCCGGGAGGCAGTGGAAGATAGGAGGGCCTGGCGTGCGCTGGTCCATGGGGTCACGAAGAGTCGGACACAACTAAACGACTAAAAGACGATGAAAATTGATTGAAATACTTAAACCGCATCAACTTATTATTTCTTTCATACATTTATATCCTACAATGCTTCCAATGAACTCATGACAGTATATGTATGTGGGCATCCTCAGTGTTGATGTGTATGGGTGTATAAGGGCCCTCATGGGACTTTTAACCATAAATGATTTAAGTGTAAGGAAGTACCATGGGACAGAATATTCTTTTCCAGGGATTAAAATTGATCGATGGAGATGGACACTGCAGATGGAGACAGCAGCCACGAAATTAAAAGACGCCTGCTTCTTGGGAAGAAAGCGATGACAAATCTCGACAGCATCTTAAAAAGCAGAGACATCGCCTTGCCAACAAAAGTCCGAATAGTCAAAGCTATGGTTTTTTGTGTCTTGATGTATGGAAGTGAGAGCTGGACCATAAAGAAAGCTGACTACCGAATAACTGATGCCTTTTAATTGTGGTGCTGGAGGAGGCTCTTGAGAGTC